GGGGGCGCCTGGGTGGCTCAGTTGGTTGAGCGACTGCCTTCGGCTCAGGTCATGATCCTGGAGTCCCGGGATCGAGTCCCGCATCGGGCTCCCTACTCGGCAGGGAGTCTGCTTCTCCCTCTGATCCTCCCCCTCTCATGCTCTCTGTCTCCCATTCTCTCTCTCAGATAAATAAATAAAAAATCTAAAAAAAAAAAAATTTTTAAATTGGTGCCTCCTACAACTCTCCACTGTAAAGGGACATTTTTCCCTTTGAGATTCATAGCTCACCCTCTAAAATAACCTCAAATTGGCATATTCCTATTTAATCATTTGAGTATCCAGTTGGTTTGTATAAATAGGCAATACTCATATGTAGCCATGTCTGGAGAAAAAGACTGAGGATCCAGCTGGAAATACTGTGGGGGTTTTTTGGTCTGTTTAAGAACAAGTGAACAAGAGAAGACCAATTTTTCTTGTGTGGCTAAAAGGTATTTCTGAAAGAATAATTACAAAATGTTCTTAATCAATATGTAGATAGCCATTATAAACATACAAATGAGTGTTGTTGAAATAATATTTATTTTTTAACACTTTTTTTAAAAAGCTCACACTTTATAGTTGTACTGTTTATTCATAATGTAGGTAAAAGCTCATTACCTAAGTACATGGGAAAATATGAGTACCTTTAGAAACTGAAATAACACTACCTGAGGATAGTTTCCCCCTCTCCTGCTGGCCTCATGAATAATGTATCTTGTTGGAATAGAACTTAGGAAAAATGAATCATGCTCTGTGTGTGAGTTTTCAGATTCCAAAATCCACCCAACATTGATAAGTGTGGGTTTGAGTTTCCTTCCTGCTCATCAAGGACACCGTCTTTCCCAGTGTGTCTGTTTGTGTTCAGTCTTTTGACAAATTCCCCTTTACCCCAGATTACCTCCCTTCTATAAATGTTATGTGACTAAATCACATGCTTCGAGAAAAGTGTTTAATATTAGATGAATAAATGCCCTCAACTCGGACTGTAGAAGGGAAGACCCCCCCTGAATGGGGTCCTGTGCTCAGCAATACCTCAGATTCTCCCAAGCATCTGCTTATGAGCTGTCTGCTGAGCTTATAAAAAGTTCCACCCATTCACTTGTGAGGAGTCAGACCCCACGGCCCTTGGCTCGGTAGCCTAATAGCACCATTTCTGACAAAATGCCATTATTTAGTGTGCCTGCGAGAGCTTTGAGCTCTAAGAAATATGTAAAACATCCCTGCCTGTCATGCCTCAAACCCAAGGAGGTTTAAAGGACCCCACTCTTAGCCTCCGTTTTCTTGTGGTTTAGGGCATTGTAGTGCTATTTTTTAAAAGATAAGCCTTTTCCCCCTTAATTTTTTATTGAAGTGTATGTAATAATATTTGTACAAAAAAAGTGCACAACAAATCATAAGTGTATAACCTGAGTGAATTTTCAAAGTGTATACATCATCTAGATCAAGAAATAGAAGACAGCCTGTATCTCAGAAGTCCCCTTACTTGTGCTTCCTCCTGCCATCCTCTTACCCCCAATATAACTATCACCCTGACTTCTAACAATGTGGATTAATTCATTTTGATTGCCCACACATACACCACTCAGTCTGTCAACATTTGTGTGTGTGTGTGTGTGTGTATTGACAGGTCTTCAGTACGATTTTGATTGTAAATCCCTGTGTAATTAGTGAGTCTAGAGAAGCTACTGATTTATCGAAGGGAATCTTTAACAAAACCCATCACCCAAAATGTGCCTTGGGCCAAAATTGGGAACAAGAAGAAGTCAAAGAGGGAGAATCAGGCCCATTTTGCTGGTAAAAGATTTTATTTATGGCCACTCTCTTCTTGGCACAGTGTTCTGGGGATAATGGAATTCCCCAGCTAAGACTCTTTAGCCAGGCTAACAAGGAATTGGAGAGGATAAGTGATCACCAAAAATTCTATATTTGTGTATAAAGGGGGTGTTTTAATACCTCCCTTATGTAAACGTCCCATCTCCACAACCTCCCCTTCCCAGAACTCTCCCAGGAACTATGAAAGTGACAAGACGGTGCGCAGTGTTTAGAAGCAGTTCTAACAGGCATGATTTTCTGGTTTTCGGGTTTCTAGCACATGGAGGGAGGGTGGGGCGGCTGGGTCTCTGACCGCAGCGGAAGTGTCAGCTGACAAGCCTGATAAAAGGGCATGGTATTGAAAAGCCATAAAAATCAGATCCAAGAACTCAAAAAAGCTTTTGGACCTGGGAACAAGCAGCCTTCTAGACCTCCAAAGCCCCCAGGACACCATTGTGCATTGTCATGCTCACAGTGATGATCCTGAGTCATTGTAAAAAGCGTAGATTATGTGTACTTTCTGGAATGAGAAAAATTGCTACCAAAAAATGGTTAGGAGGCTGGCTCTGCAGTCAGCTTGGATCAGCCCTGCATCTGGTACTCACAGCTGTGTGGCCCTGGGCAATTTACTTGACCTCATCTGTAAAATGGGGACAATAGTGTCCCTACCTCATAGCACTGTTGCATGGATCAAATTCCAGGCAGCATTCCTTGTAAGCTCTAGGTAGTTGTTTCCTGTTACTAGTTTTGGGCACCGGGACAAATGAATAGGTGGAACATTTGGTTCTTTGGCTACAAGTGAGATGTTGCCTTTTCAAACAAAGCTTGCGTTTCGTAGCTAGGGCCTCTCCAAATACATACAGTGCTACAAAATGACTACTTCTCTTGAAGTGATGGAGACATTAAGGCTTTGAAGCAATTCATAATATAAATTAAAGTAAGTGGACAAAACCACAAGGAGACAGGTTAAAGATCCAGAAGAGGAGCATATAATGACGTAGTCCTCCGGGAGCCCAGGGTTGCTCTAATACCCGAGTGTCGCGGTACATGGCCCAGACACACATCACCCCTCCTCTCCTTTCTCAGTAGGGTCCCGTGTGCCACGGAAATAAATGAGGAGTCCTGTCTTTTCTTCCTTGGTGCTTATTTAGGTGGCTGATTTATGAAGAACCTGGATTTCAGGGTGTGCCTTTTGTCCTGGAACCTGGTGAATACCCCGACTTGTCCTTCTGGGATACAGAAGAAGCGTACATTGGATCCATGAGGCCTCTGAAAATGGTAAAAAAGAAACCTAACAAAATGTTCCTGGAGTCTGATGCTTTGTCAGCTTGACATTGATAGTTCACAGGCTGTGACTCTGAAGCATAGTTTTAAAAACGCAGATCGGTGGTAGATGGAACCTCTCGCTAGACAGAAACAATAGGATAACTTGCCGGACGCTCTAGATGGAAAAATAGATAAGCCCGTGTCATCTGCCTCCGAGGCAGTCTCAGCCTTGCAGAGCCACACGTGTGTGTGCAGAGCTGCAGCCCAGGGCAGGTCTAAGAAATGAAGACAGTGAAGAGCTAAACCCTTGTGGAAAAACAGGAAGGACAGATGAAGTCCACCTTGGAGGTGATGTGACCGAGGAGAGGGATGATTAGGAGAGCTTCATGCTCAATCAAGTTGGGTCTTAAAAACCACACAGGACTGTGTTAGATGGAGATGTCAGGGAATGCTCTGCCTGAGCCCGGGCGGAGCTGGGGAAGGGCAGGGCAGGTGGGCACCAGCCCAGTTGTAGCGACCAGAGGCTAGGGTGCGGGGGGCAGCCTGGGGGGCCCTGGGGCTGGATGTGTGAATATTGTGCCCCAGCATCTGCCTTAGAGAGGAGCCTGTGCTTCCTCCCCCCTCCCCCTGTCTTTTGTTGTGTTCCTTCTATCTCTTCTGCTAAACTCTAAGCCTTGGGAGGGTCCAGGCTGTACCTGTCTTGTCCCCCACGTGGAGCACGGTGTGTGCTACATGGCAAGAGGTGCTCACTAACTACCCATGCCACCAGGGCGGCTCTTGCGACAAACATGTTTCTGAAATCGCACTTTGCGGTGGTTTTCTAGAGTCAGTTTGAAACAGATTAGAAAGTCATGGAGATAATTTTTGTCTTAATTTTACCTCTCCTGCCAAAGCCTGTGGTTTAGCTACCTCCATGTTTGCTGATCTTCATGCAAAACTCATTTGCATTATAAATGACTTTTTCATTATAAATGATTTGTTTCTAAAATTTACTTTCAAAGAACAAAGTTTAGTTAGTTCTGTGAATATATGAAAGAATTGTCCCAGGTTTTGAAGGCTGTTTCAAATAATTTACAAAACTGTGAAGTTTATGGCATTGGAAAAGGATACTTTTGAAAGGGTGCTTAGTACACTCAGTGTCCTCCCCCTCCCCCCCCATCCACAGAGGATAGCTTCCAAGACCTTCAGTGGGTGCCCGAAATCATGGATGGCACCAAACCCTCTATATACTATGTCTTTTTCCTATATTTATATGATAAAATTTCATTTATAAATTAAATTATATATTATCTAGTTTACAAGTTAGGCACAGTAAGACATAAACAGTAACTAATAATAAAATAGAACAAGTATAACAATATACTGTAGTTAAAGTCCTGTGAATGCAGTCCCTCTCTCTCAGAATCTCTTATTGTACTATAATCGCCCTTCTTGTGATGGAGTGAAATGATAAAGTGCCTGCCTGATGAGGTGAAGTGAGGTGGGGGAACATAGGTGTTGTGACGCAGCCTTAGGCTACTCCTGACCTTCGTCGGACAGTATGTCCGGAGGAGGATTCTCTGCTTCCAGACTGTGATTGACTGCGGGTAACAAACTGGAAAGTGAAATGCAGATAATGGGGGGCTACTGCACTTGGTTGTTTAAACTCTGGTTTGTTGATAAAATCAGCAACATTCCTTTATAATTACAGTTCAGTTGGTGCATCTGAGCACCTTTGGCTGCACTTAAAAAAAAAAAAAAAAAGCTGTTCTATATCAGTGGAAAATATTCTCCTGACTTTCCCGCTGCCGATTTTAACTCTTACCCCATTTATTATTTCTGTGTAATAATACCTTTTTCTGTGGCTTCTTTTTAGTGAGTTTTCTGGTGATTTACAAAAACTTTATTATGAAAGTATCACAACCCCCATAGACCCATCCTTTGGGCTAGTTTAAATTCTACCCAACAGCTCATGGAATTATTTCAAGAGTCCTCCAGACCATATTGTGAACTTGTGTGAACTCAACAGTTTTGTAAGCCACGGGTTGCAAAACCCAGTGCCTCCAGGGGCCAGGCAGCAAACAGACATGAGTGAGGGTGGCAGGGAGTTGAACCCTGAGGGGCCAGGCAGCAAACAGACATGAGTGAGGGTGGCAGGGAGTTGAACTGAGAGCGCAGTAGAGACAGGCCAACCCCGCGCAAGTCCCGGCTGGAGCATGAGCCCACGGGAGAGGTAGTCCGTGCACAAGGGGAGGGCTGCTGCCTCTGAGCTCTGTGTCCAGAAACATCCGATCTTGTGGCTGCTCTTTAAGGGAAATAAGAGGAATGCATTTTTGTGAGACATTTTCTGAATAAAAACAAAAACAAAAAAACTCAGCTTATTGGGTTAAAAAACTTACCTACCATGCAAATTCAGCTTACAGACCACCTCTGCTCTACACAGTCTTCCTCATTCTTCATCTGCATCATTGTAGCTTCAGAACTGTTGCAGCCTCACTTAAACGAGAGGCACGCACACTGGGACGTTTGATCGCTGACCATCAGCTGCCATGGGTCATATAAAATGGTAATCTATCCACGAAGAGCTGTGTTTCTGACTATATTATTTTTCTTTTCAGGGTGGACGTAAAGTTGAATTCCCTACTGATCCAAAGGTAAAAATGTTTATTTTTAAAATTTTATTCCTATTCCATCCCCATGAAGATAATGTGGTTTTACGCATCAACCTCCATGAAACATAATTGCAGCTAAAGGAAGTCATCCAAGTGATACATGCCATCCCTTAGACTGGAAGATGACGCTAATGGCACTAATAATCCCTCTCAGTACATGTAGCCATGGCTTAAAATGTTCATCGTTGCATTCAGTTTGTAATTTGTGGTAGTATTTACTAATTGTGGGGCCTGTTGCTGCTTGCCAGTTAGCCAGGAAAAACTGAGTTCTCAAGACAAGATCTCCCTTTCTCCTATTTCTACCTTGCACATTTATGACACATTTATGTTTCTTTTCTTTCTTTTTTTTTTTTTAAATAAGCTCCATGCCTAACGTGGGGCTTGAACTCATGACCCTGAGGTCAAGAGTTGCATGCTCCTACCAATGAATCCAGTCAGGTACCCCTGTATTTCATTTTTATTTATTTATTTTTTTAAAGATTTTATTTATTTACTTGACAGAGAGAGAGAGAGAGACCAAGTAGGCAGAGAGGCAGGCAGAGGGAGAGGGAGAAGCAGGCTCCCCGCTGAGCAGGGAGCCCGATGTGGGGCTCGATCCTAGGACCCTGGGATCATGACCTGAGCCGAAGGCAGCCGCTTAACCGGCTGAGCCACCCAGGCACCCCTGTATTTCATTTTTAAAGCAACTTAGGATCCTCTGGTTCCTTAGTTTATCCTAAGCAAAATTCTAAATATCAGTTCTAGACATTGAACAAAAACCAATTTTTTTAACCAATTATTTATAAACTGTCTTTTGAACCTGGCTTTGGGCTGCACCACACCAGGATAAAAATTCTGAGTTTTAAAATTTAAAATACTGGTGGCGCCTGGGTGGCTCAGTCGTTAAGCGTCTGCCTTCGGCTCAGGTCATGATCCCAGGGTCCTGGAATCAAGTCCCGTGTCAGGCTCCCTGCTCTGCGGGAAGCCTGCTTCTCCCTCTCCCACTCCTCCTGCTTGTGTTCTCTCTCTCGCTGTGTCTCTCTCTCTGTCAAATAAATAAACAAAAAATCTTTAAAAAAAATAAAATAAAATAAAATTTAAAATACTACTATTTAGTTAATTTAAAAAATAAGATCAGGAAGTTCTGTGTTCTAGGACTTAGTGATATTAAATGACTGGTTTAACATTTGGCTGTTGTGATATTTAACTTCTTACAATTAGTGGTCTATCATTTCTATTGTAGGTAGTTATTTATGAAAAGCCTTTCTTTGAGGGAAAATGTATGGAACTAGAAACAGAAATGTGTAGTTTTATCGTGGAAGCAGGTGAAACAGAAGAAACAACAGATGACAGTTTGCCATTTATGTCCGTGGGCTCGATGAAAGTTCTGAGAGGAATGTAAGTAGGTGGGAGTAACCAGGGGGGAGGGGGTGTCTTTTTTATCCCTTTAGTAAAGTAATAGACACGTTTCCCCTACTCCCACCACCACCACCACCACCAAAAAACCATTCCAGATAGTACGGTAGAGTGAATTTCAAACATGTTCTCAGCCAGAGTGAATTTCAGACATATTCTCTAGACCTGGATTTGACACAGTGGATCAAGGGGCTGTTTGGGGCCAGTCAGCTGAGCAAGGCTAATAAATTGGCCCACACTGATCAAATCTACATCTTGTTTATTAATATTATGCTCCAAACTATTGAACTATTAGTTTGCTTTCTATTTTTTATGATATTTTACACTTTAGAGATCTAACATATTTCCTTTAGAAGTATACATTGAAAATGGTCTTGTAAACAGGCAAAAATATTTTAATTACTCATTGAAGAAAATTTATCCAGTTTTATTTGCTGAAGTTCTTTTTTTTTTTTAAGATTTATTTGAGAGAGAGAAAGAGAGCATGTGAGTGGGGGGAGGGGCAGAGGGAGAGAGAGAGAGAGAAAGAGAGAGAAAGAATCTCCAGCAGACTCCCCACGGAGCATGGAGCTCAATGCAGGGCTTGATCCCCAAACCCTGGGATCATGACCTGAATCAAAATCAAGAGTCAGATGCTTAACTGAGACACCCAGGTGCTCCTGCTGAAGTTCTTTTGAGTCATTCTTATTAAACACACACACACACACACACACACACTCCCTCTACTCCTTTATAGAATGTTGATGTATATTTCTTAGGTTGTTCCTTAGGGGTCCATTCTATTAGTCTCTTAAATTTAGAGAAGAATTGCAATAGTCATAGTGCACGAGTCTGTGTCTAGCTTCATAACTATTAGTATTTGTTAATGAAACTGATAAATACATGGGAAAAATTTTAGCACTGATGAAAACATGTTCTTTCTGTTGTAGTTGGGTTGCTTATGAGAAGCCTGAATTTACAGGTCATCAGTATTTGCTTGAAGAAGGAGAGTACAAGGACTGGAAAGATTGGGGAGGTTACAATGGAGAACTTCAGTCTTTACGACCTATATTAGGTGTAAGTTAAAGAAAAGCTAATAGATAATACTTGATCTTTTTTGAATAATAAGTGGGTAGCCTTTGAATTTTGAATTTTTTTCCTTAATAGGATTTTTCAAATGCTCACATGATAATGTACAGTGAAAAAAACTTTGGATCCAAAGGTTCCAGTATTGACGTCTTAGGAATTGTTGCTAACTTAAAGGAGACTGGATATGGATTGAAGACACAGTCTATTAATGTACTGAGTGGAGTGTAAGTAAAATGACCCAGTCGGGATTTTAAACACTTTTACGTTGGGTTGTATTAAATTGATAGTATCTCTGACACAGAGTAGGCACTCAATATCAATAACTAAACATTAAATCAGTCATTTAATATGTTCTGCCACAGTATTTTCATAACTGCTTTTTAAAATCTTTCTCATATAATCTTTTTTTCATGTGTAATACAACATTGAAATAGACTTTTGGGTTTCATGATTGAAACCTACAGATCCACTTCTCTTATCATTCTGCATGGAAAGGTCTCCTGGATTTCTTATGATGGGAATCAAATAAAAAATAATGATCTAATACTAGAAAACTGAGGTTGGGATAAAGTCCCATTCATTTTCCTGTAGTCCTTGCAGGGGAGAAAGAATTTCTTCTACCCATCAAGATTCTTCTAGCTGGTCTAAGAATTAAATTGACATAAGATAGATTAACAAGAGAAAAAAAAACCACCAAAGTTAATTACATCCTCATGGAGGTCCAATAATGAAATTGAGACCCAAAGGAATAATCAAAATCAAGAGTCAGATGCTTAACTGAGCCACCCAGGTGCTCCTGGGTAGGCAGGGTAGGCAGTTTTTATATATTTTAGGCAGAGAGACAATACATTTGTTAGGAATTGACAGGATAAAACTTGTTTGGAAGCTTCAATTAGTAAGGAATTCTAAATAGAATTTGGGCTAATGTAATAAATTAGTAAAAAGTAACAAGGTTTGTTTATACAGCCTTCTCGGCTCTAAATTCCCTATCTCTGGTGATGAAGGTGTGTCTCTACCTCCTGGTACAGGGAGGATACCATTCACATGGGAGATTTATTTCCTGTTTTCAGAGAGGCAGAGGAGGGTCTGAGAGTCGTTCATGCACAGGCTGTTTCTTAAGTAACTTTACTTTGAAATAATCGATATGCCATTGTGGTCCTTTTTGGGGTAGCCTGCCCTGAGCCCCGACGTCCTACATCTGCTCCATTTTATTTCTTCACTATTACTTTGACATAAAAATTAATGTTTCAGTGTACCTGGAGTTAGCAATTGAATGCTTTATTTTAATGCTAATGTAAGCTTTTATTGAAAGATGATCAGTCAAGATTCTTTGGGATGCACACGACTGCAAGCCAACCTAAACTGATAAAAGTGATAAAAATGGAATTTATCAGACTACATAACTTAAAAGTCCTGGAAAAGATTTTTGCTTCAGTCATGGCTGGATGTCGGGTTTAGACACTGTCATTAGAACTTGCTCTCTGTCTCTTGACTGGGCTGTTTCCTATGCTGGCTTCGTTTTAGGCAGGCCATTTCCATCTGGTGGAAGTTCTTTTCTTCTCACTGTGTCCAGTGGAAAGAGCTTCTCTTTCCCACAACAGTTCCAGGTTTGACTTTGATTCTCTCAGCTTGGGTCATGTGTACCTGCCTGAACCAATCTCTGTAGTCAAGGAGATGACAGTGCCCACGTGATGTGCACAGTCCCAGAGCAGGGTAGGGTCAGTCCCACAGAGCCACTTATATATGATTGGGGTGAGTGGTTCCCCAGGAACATTAGAAAGAATGGGGACAGATACTGGATGGGCAAAACACGTGTCTATTAAAAGAAGTTATATAATTATTCTTATGATCCAGGTTGATGTCAGTTATAATTTGTTGTAAGTGAGAGTATTCTTAAATAATCATATGAAATTATTTGACATGGGTTCTGTTGAAAGTGTTTGATGTTAGGTTTTTTTATGTCATGAGTAACATAGGCTATTTAGATCATTCTAACCTCAATTCTGTCGTATTTTGTGGAGCCTCCCATAGGATCCCTGGATATCTGAGATGTGTCTACAGTGTAATATGCTTTTACTATTAGTCACATTCGCCAAATCCTTGCGTAGGTTGTTGCTTGTGGCGCCATCTTGGCGGGGGTGACATCCGGGACTTCTGGGTCTTCATTCTCAGCAGGAGATGCCTCTACCGCGTTGTGCTGTGGCACCCTAACATTTTACAGTCTGCCATAGACAAAAGGTATGGTATGGCAGAAGTCATGTGAAATGTTGCCGTGGCTCTGTAGTATTTTGAATTGCCTTTAGAGTTAATTACTTACAAGGAAAATAGTGACCAGTTCAGTCTGAAAGAACAGTTGTACGTTTTGGTACTCACCAGGTATGTTGGTTCCATTAGTCAGAGTCCAGTCATGCATTCTAGCAGAGGAAGCAAGAGGATGTTGGGTAGGATTCCCTTGGGGCATTTATGTAGCTTGTGTTGTTAGCACAGGTAGGATCGTGCCCAGAGCCGGTCTTTTTTTTTTTTTTTAACCCAGCCTTTGTTTACTTGCAATTAGTTTCCTTTATAAAATGTTGCTTTTATAGGTTTCTATTTTTAGTCATTTCTAGTTGTATTTCCTGGTTTAGGCTTTTTTTCTGGTGATAGCAGTTGAGTTGTGGTACTGGCGGAATTTGAAGGGAGGTATGCACACATCACCGCCCCCCACACCACTTCCTTTTAAATTCTGTGGTTTTGGAAGGGCTTCCGTATTTACCAGGGCCAGCTGCTTCCTCAGAATTCATTTAGTTGGTTATTTGACAAATATTGATTGAGGTCTGTTACGTGCAAAGTACTATATTATGTCCTCACAGAAGTTACAGTATTCATATAAAACATAAATCATTGCTACAAAAGACCTAGAGATTAAGTGCTTTGGGAATCTACTGAGCAGAAAGAGATTAATTTCCAGTTTGTACACAGGGAAGACTTTGGCCGAAGAAGTGGCATTGGACCCGGGCCTTGTGAGGTAGATAGATTGAGGTGTGCCAACACGAGGGAGGAAGACTAGCCTGTGTGTTTTTAATAGTTTCAAGGAAAAAATGATTTTAATGACTTTATTCTTCTTGGTAAATAAGAATTTTAGTTTGGTTTTTCATTTCTCAATATGGAACGTGAAAACTTTTCAGAAGACTTTTTTGAGATTCCCGTTCTGGGTGTCTCCCAAGAGGTTCCCTATCACAGGGGTAATAAAGTGCTTGGGTGGTAAACTCATTTTTACCTCAGACACAGAGACCAGCCTTCAGGAAGGCTGCCCATGAATCCAACCATGGAGGTGTTGGGAACTGCATTCCGTTTTCTTACTGCAACATCAGAAGAAACTCCCTCTCACAGCTCTACTAAGCAATTTCAAGTTCTGTGCTATGCTCTTGTTCACATGGTGGAAACTGGGCTAGTTTTTTTAAAACTAAGAACAAAAGGAAATATTTCTAGAGTCGAGCTAAAAAAATTAAAGTGCTGTCATTTTAATTTCTTTTTCCTTTTCCCTTCCACGGAAGGGCTGGTTTGCCCTGCCCCCCTTAAGTTCTGAGCAGTGACTCCACCAGGCTGGGACCTGCCGGTACTCATACTCGCTCTCTCCCCACCACCCCCTCCAACCTTAGAAACAGGGAAGTGTTGATTCACGTGTACAGAATATGTTGAAATAAGGACAGTGAGGAATTTTCTTCTTATGAGTCTCAAGTGTAAGTTATAGATATACCGGAGAATCTCAGATCTGAGTTTTGGGGTTTTATTTTTACCCTCATATTCATGGGTGATTCATCTGGGGCTGCATCTCAGGAGGAAAACGACCCTACTCTCAATTCAAGTAACACCTTAATAAGTGGTTTGTTTGGTTCAGCCTCCGTGAATTATATAGGTTTATGTGGTGGTGGGTGTTTCCTTACAAGTGATTTATTTTAGTTTTATAGGGAAATAGAGTATTCTCACTTGTTAGTTTTATTTTAAAAAAAAAAACAAGTGCTGGGTAAAGCTTCCTCCAACGCTCACTCACTTGCCTCCTCTCCCGTGGTCCGTGTCTCCCCACTCACAGCCTTCCCTCCAGACCTTGAAGTCAATCAAGCAAAAAGGCCTTTTAACCTTCTCTTCTCCTTTAACTAGTTACAGATGCAGAGCCTGCCAGGAATACTTTTTTTGTGATACGGCTTAACCTCTTTTTC